TATTATTTTTGTGTGAGTGTACCATCAAATCAGATCTGACTGGTACAGGAGGAGATTGTCCCTCCTTCCCCGGCAGAGCATCTGGTGGATTCGAACCATGCGCCTCTGGGATTGTAGTTGCAGCTCCTTGCCACTAGGCCACCAGAGCTCCCCAGTATTTTAGTTTTTAAGAGTTAAGAATTCATAAAGGAAATTGTGGAATGAAATATAGAAACAATTTCAAATACAAAAATGAATAAACACTGAAAGCTAATGAAATATTATTTATAAATATTACAACGAATTGTTACATGAAATAAAGCTAAGTTATAAAAAAATAAACTATTCTGTTCATAGCGTCCTTAAGTATTGCAACTTGAGGCTTGAATTTGTCCTCCAGTTCCTTCAGCTTAAGAAATGCCAAGTGAGTTCAACCCTTTTAATTTTCCAACTCCAGCCCTTTACACATTTCAATGGAATTCTTTTCTTTGTCTTCCCCAGCTGCCCTTTGAAATCTTCTATTCTGCTTGCTAACTTCCTGATTTCTTCCCTTTGCAGTGTTAGGAATGACAGAATAAAACCCATACATATTTGAGAAGAGAGAAAGTAATACTTGCTGTCCCGCTCTTTACAGAAGTTGTTGTTGCGTGCCATGACTCAGCAACCCTACGAACAATGGGTCTGAACCTTGCTTGCCCTTTGCTTTTTTCTTTATAGACAGATACATACACAAACACATATGCGTGTCTATGTGTATATACACAGATTCTAGTGTTAAGTAAATCCCTTGAAAGTTTGCAAGGTCATGACTTTTCAGTAAGTACTGCAATGAGAAATACCATAACCACAATTCAACTTTCACCACCAGGAAGAATACTGATACTGAACAGAACTACCCCAGAGCGTTTGCAGTCCTGTCCAGTGTTTATGGAAGCAGACTGGCACATCCTTTTTCTGTGAAGCAGCTAGGAGGTTTGAACCACTGATCTTTCGGTTCACAGCCAAATGTTTTAACCAATGTACCACCAGGGCTCCTTACACATAATAGGTTAAGAAAAAGATGAGTGAGAAA